AGCATAATTAACTTTATTTCAATTAGTAACTTTCAAACTAGATACGGGAGCTAGTGGCAGTTGCCGTATCTAGAGATGGAAAAACTGCTATTATATGTGCATATATAAAAGTTTTAAACATTGTAGTTTTTAAATGAGCGTGCTTATAAAATAAAAATAGTTTTTTTTTAATAAAAAATATTTATTTTAAAAAAACCGACTTGAAAAGTTTGCTTATTTAAATTGAAGTTACACCTATTTGCCAAGTTTTTTGAAATAGGTTAAAAGAAAGTGCGCGAAACCGGATTGATCTTCTAGTTTGCCACCCTTAGAGGTGGAACATTTTCTTCAAATTTAAATGGGACCTATGCTGAGGTACCCTCTTTCCAACAAAAAAAATCGTAATTTTCTTTTCCCTTATTTATTTCTTTCGCGTAACATACACAAAGAAATACAGGCGAATAGAGAACCTCCTCCTCTTTTGAAGTCGGTTAAAAATGCTTGCAACATTGTGTTGGAAGCGACAAGCGAGAATAGGCCACTAAAGGTTTTTAGATAAGTAAGTTCATTTGTAAAACACGAGTTTTATTTTTATTTTTAACATAGTTATTCACATTGACGTTTTAATTTGTTAAGCAAACATGACGAGACGAGCGAGACTTGTAGACACGTTTTTTAAAAAAAATTGTTGAGTATTGAACTGAGCAACGTTTACAACTTAAAGTTATAAGCGTGCTTATGTGCTTATATTAAAAAGCAAACTTTTTAAAGTGCTTTTCGTTTAAACGCGAATCTTTAGTCGCATCGTACTAATTTGTACGTTACAAAATTGACATGAAATTCATTACGCTTTGTACAATTTAGTAACAGTAGAACTCCTTGTGAAAGAGTTCGACCAGAGAGGTATTTGTGTTCCGGTTTTGAAGGATAAGGGTGCTGGTGAGATTACAGGCACATGGGACTTGTCAACTTATGTCTCAGGGTGACGGGCGCAGTGGCAGTGCCCCTCAAACCTTTGCGATTTAAAGCTCTGAGTGGCACTGCAACTGTTATGGACAGGCGTGTAACTTACCATCAGGAGCAGGACTTGTTCGTCCCGTCTCTTGATATTATAAAAAAAATTCGTTACAAAGAATTGACTTCCATTCTATTATGCCGCAACGTAAATTGAGTCTCAGGTTCGTATTCTAGAACTCTACTCAATGCTCAAGTCAGGTCTTGAGTATGATTCAAAACACTAGAAATCATACTCAAGTCCTTGCCATTAGAGTCGTATTTCCAGTGCTTGAAATCATACTCAAGTCTGCCCAAATCCTGACTTGAGCATTGAGTAGAGTTCTGGTATACGATCCTTAATATTAACGGTCGTGTTATAAGTAAAAGAATTAGTAAAGTTATAAATTTCCCTATATTTCGGGAGTTCTGATCTTATTTGTTATGCTTTAAATGTAAATATTATAGTTGGGGCGCCAAGGGGAGACCATAATACATGAGTAACCACACTTATCGACACTTAATCGCACCAAAGCCGGTCAGAAAAAGCTTTATGGAGGTTCGATCACACGCCATGTCTTTTTCGCTCTGATTACATGGACATGAAGGACCGTTTACACGGGACAAATCGACGAGCCATTCCACTAAGCCAAGCCATGACTGGCGTCGTGTAAACAGAGACAATCCATGATTCAAAAAGAAAAAGGGAACATTATATTTCAAACCAACATTATATTTCAACCATAATCACCGAGTATTAAAAAACTGACCTCAAAAGTTCCTGGAATTATATATTTGCCAAGTTTTATTGAAATCTGTTATCGGAAAGTGTGCGAACCCGGATGATGAATCCGGTTTAGTTTTCCACCCGTAAAGGTGGAATATTTTCTTCAAATTTAAATGGGATTAAATTTAAATTCCACTACCGAAGTAGTTTCTTTCCAACAAAAAAAGAATCGTCATAACGGTTCACGAATTATCGCGTAATAGGAAATAAAAAAATATACATAAAAAAATGCAGTCGAATTGAGAACTTCGTCTTTATTTTGAAGTCGGTTAAACTTTCTAAAAAAATTGATGACAAAGAACCCAGAAACGTGAAGATTTGCAAGATTATGCACTACGTAGTTAGGTAAATAGGCAGCTATATATTATCATAGTTAGTGACAGTTACAAAAGCAAAGTTTCAGGGGTGCAGCTACTCTTTTCTACATATTGTCCAACTGTTATAGACAGGCGTGTAGCTTACCATCAGGCGCACGACTTGTTCGTCCCGTCACTTGATATTATAAAAAAAAATGGAGTGTCGCCAGACCAGTGATAAAGAATTTCTCATTTTTCCGACCAAATATTCCCCCACCACGCGCCTTTGCATCCTGAGCCACTCCACTAGTTTGCCTTGCTGTTTATTAAAGAATCTTAAAAAACTTGTTGCAATACTGACTGTAGTGTAATGGATGTTCCGAATTTCGTACTTTTCACTAGACTGGCTTAATGGCTTGGCTTTGTGGAATGGCTCGTTAATTGGTCATTTTCTGACCGACTCAAGCCAATTATGCTTTAATAAGTGTGGTCAATCACAGAACTCTATGAATGACAGACGCCTACAATCAGCATCGGATAACGATGCCAAGTTTGCAACGACATTTATAGAACGCAAAAAACTCTCCCTACACTTGTCGAGTTAGAAAAAAATGCACTCCTACTACGTATAGTTAGCAGTAGACCTCCTTGTGAAAGAGTGCGTCTAGGGAAGTGCTCCCACCTTACTTATTTCTGCCGCCAACTAATAACGTGAGAATAACTGCGTTTTGATTTTGAAAGATAAGGGTGTTGACGAAATTACAGGCACATGGGACTGTCAACTTATGTCTCAGGGTGACGGGCGTAGTGGCAGTACCCCTTAGAGCTTTGCGATTTAAAGCTTTAAGAGGCTGGCGTGTCGCTTACCACTCGTATGACTTGTTCGTCCCATCATTTGGTAACATTAAACGAACGTGCCGCCCCATTAGGTGTTTTTATTTGAATATCTTCAAAATGAGCTATTTTAACCTCACCAAACGTTGGCCATTTATTACACGCTGATGTTTTTGGCAAAGTAACGTGTTTAGAATCGTATTGTTATGCCGCGTGCACGACACCATACTAACGCTATTAATGCTACTAGCACTATAACACTGATTCGAAATAATAGTACTTGAGAGAATTTTCAGACCAATGTGTTCAAAATGTTTCAATTTAATTTCTAGGTAATGCCGGTATAGTGATCAATGTAGATTGTAAATTGAACTGCCGAATATAACGCATTAAAAGATATGCCGCACGGGCACTGCGTCGTCGCAACGTTGCTTACGATGGCGTGCCCCATTTCAATGTACCGTTTCAACGCAACGTGTGGCATATCGATCGATTTATAAGTCAACGGAACGCCGTCGCAACGCATCGTGTGGTGTCGCTCTAAGGGTTTATAATATTGCTTATAGCTGACCACAGACAAATTATAGTACTGTGGAATAATCCAAAAATTTGTTTAAACTTTTGAGATCCAGGTCGCTCTTATTTAATTTTGACGAGTGTAAATTCAAGGGCGCAAGCTTATCGTACGACTACCTCTAATGAGATATCTCGATTTCCGGTAAGGCGTATAATTGTGAAAAAAACTACTATTCACTCAAAATGCGGTCGGGTTGTTCAGTAATGGCCATTGGTTCTGGATTGGCCAAAAAGTCGGGTGATTGTAGAATTCCCGTTTTTGAGTTTACTTTTACAACCAAATTTTTGAGTTTACTTTTACAATACCGCTTTTAAATATTTTTTTTAAAACGCTTTTTATCAAAGCCGAGTTCATTTAAAAAATTCTGTAAAGGCCGAAACAAGTGAAAATCTGAAAAGGCTATGGCGGGCGAATGCGGTGGATGAGGTGACACATTCCAACGTAACTGCAGTCATGTAAAGGGTCGCAGACGAAGGACAACAAATGTTAGCGACTAGTTATTGGTTTATTAACTCCAAGTGAACTGAATTACTTTGCATGCTGTTTGTGTGGTTTATATATAAATAAATTATATCTAAAGCAATTAATTAACAATTAAGATGATGCAACAATCTGCATTTCTGTGGAAATTTAGAAAGTTTACACCGTTAGTGATAACAAGCTTCGTCCAACGATTAAAATGTAATGTGGTTACATTACAATAGTTTTTGACGGCTTTGCAAAGATTACCTTTATTACGATTCACCCATTCTGGGCGTATTTCATGAACTTTAAACTTTCCCTATTCTTAAAATGCGCATTCAAATATAGTTTTTTAAATGACCACAATTAATATAACATTTAAAAAAAATTTTGTTTGTTTAAAGTTAGTGACAAAAACCGCACGGAATTTCTGGTAACCCATTACATACGTTATATAGAATTATGTTCGTTCTGATGCTCATGATACGGCGAATTTTTTTGAAACAGCACCCACGAGACTAACTTTCTCTATTTTCGTACTTAATAGGAAACAATATAATAATTAAGTATCTACTCTTGAACCAGGTGGACTTTAAAGACAACACTGTTTAGAGTATAGCTACTATTTTCTGGTCTATTGTGTATGGAGCTACTATAGCATTAGCGTGCGCGAACCTCCACGAAATTCGACTACATAAATATGTTACGCGATTAATCCGGCCTATTTAATGATTCTTTTTTATTGGAAAGAGGGCACCTCCTTATTGATCCCATTCAATTCAATTTTAATTGAAGAAAATATTCCACCTCTAAGGGTGGCCAACTAGGGGATGAATCCGGTTTCACACACTTTCCGGTAACCGATTTCAATAAAACTTTGCAAATAGATCTAGTTTCACGAACTTTTGAGGTCTGTTTTTTTAAAATAAAAAAGTCGTAATTGGGATCACAGCTGTTGTCTCCGCGCATGAGGCTTAGCCCAAAAGTATTTTTTTGGGATTATAGCAAATGATTGGTAAAAATAAACAATGGTTAGTATTAATAAATTTTAACTGAATAAATTAATTTCCAGGGCGGCAACAATGCTGGTCACACAGTCGTGGTGGACGGCCAAGAGTTTGACTTCCATTTGCTGCCTAGCGGTATCATCAATCCGAAATGCACATCTGTTATTGGTAAGATTATTTTCAAATATTTTTTTCAATCCACTTCTTAGAACGGAAATAAATTAATTTGGTACTCTACGAACCCAGTGGAGGTTTCGTGCAAATTAGTTACGCTTGTATTGATTTTTTTTCATGCAGTTGATTTTCCCGCCGTTTCAATTTTTTAATGTCAGACAGTTAAAGCGTATATTTTTGTATTTATCAGATAAACACAAACAGTTGCATATAAGTAAGATTAAATTATTATGAACCAACAACAGTATAAAAGTAACGGGACCTACTCGCGTAGTATTTTAGTCGGAAGCGGTCCGACTAGTTTCAACCATAATCGATGGTCTTCATCAGAGGTTGAGTGCAACGTTCGTGACCGCGTCACGTCTACCACTGCGGTTCGCAGTGGGGTGATACGCTGCGTCCGCGCGTCCTGGAACTCTTCTTCGCTACTGCTGTCCGTAGAATTGATGTCGGGAACAGTCCAGCACACAAGAGTTCACCACGCTAAAACCTTAGCTTTGTTAGGAGTAGTATTTTGTGCCCCGTAAAATCCGAGAGGCTATTGAAATAAGTAGGCGACAGCAGTAGCGAATAAGAGTTCCAGGACGCGCTGACGCAACATATCAGCCCCCCAGTTCCCCACTGCGGACTGCGTCATCGGCACGCGCGCAGTGCTAGACGTGACGCGGTCGCGAACGTTGCACTCAAACCCTGAGGAAGACCATTGGTTTTGATTGGAAACTAGTCGGACCGCTTCCGACTAAAATACTACGCGAGTAAGTCCTATTACTTTTATAATAAATAATAATAAATGAATAAAATAACTTTATTTCAGACTTCTGAAGGTGGTATATATACACTATAATGTACCACCATATATACTATAATGTGTCATAACCGCGTTAGTTTTCCTAATAAAACCAACAACATGTTCCGCAAATGTGTGACAATTATGCCCAGGCCAGAGGCGGCCGCGGAAGCGTTCCGGGCGCGGGATATTTTGTAAACGGCCGCCGCGCGTTTCAGGGTCATATGAATTGGTACAGTCAAGAGCACATCAAGCTTGACTCTTTGTACTGTGGACCGCTCTTGTCGTAACCGGCATACAGTTTGATTTATATATGGAGAAATTAAGTAAAATAAATAATAAATAAAAATTATGTTTTATATATAGCCACATACTCACATAATATTCATATATAAACACACACATACATACATGTACATAACAATACATATCAAATTAGTTACAATAATTATGAATACCATAGTAATAAGAAGGAGCGCCACTATTCAATATGATATTCCTACAACTACAAGAAGCGTCGATGCGATAGTTTAAGAATCCCGGAGGAATGTCCGCAAATCAACAGTATGTTTGAAATACATACGTTAATAATACTAATTACATGTATAAAGTAAGTTTGAAAGAGTTCATCCAGGGAAGTACTGCCACCTTACCTCTGTATTTCTGCTTACAAGCAGTAATGTAGTTCCGGTTTAGAAGGGTAAGGCTGCTTAAAATTACAGGCACATGAGACTTGTTTATATTACCATCAGGCGCACGAGTTGTTCGTCTCACACTATCATAAAAAATAAGAATTAATTTGTTGGAATTTTCCTACATATTACGACCATTTGGTAGTTACAACAACTGGTCGCAAAATTTTGATAAATATAGTCTATAAAACAAAAAAGAGTGATTTCAAGTATCCCGAAAAAATGTCATACGGTAGTCTCCACTTTCTGTCTCTGTTCCTCGAAATTTAGGTAAATATACTCAACCTATTCCGATCACTGATAATTTACACACGAATATGGAAAATAAAAAAATAAGTCAGTGTACTTGGACGTACACGTTTATCATTAAATGATTTATAATGCTTGTGAGCTATGATGAATTAATATATATATGATATAAAATGATAAAATGTGAAGGGCGTAAAACAGTCATACGTTTGCACGTGACAACTGGTCTCGTGACATGTAGCTGGATTATTTGAACATGAATAAATGATTTCTTTTTATTTTTATTTATATTTTATTTATTTATATCGAATCCTTGGCCTCACACAACAACGCTCGAACCAGTCAGAAAAATAGCGAAAGATGAGTTTGGCGAATCTCTAACATCAGGGGGTCTACTCCCGGTCTCCGTCCGACAAGCGTCTGAAACAATTTAAAAAAAATATATAATAGACACACGCTTGATCACAATCTCACCTGATGTTAACCGACGATGGGACGCGTTTGCCTAAAAAATGCCTATTCACTTTAGCCTTGAATAGCCCCAAATTGTACTTTTCGGAAAATACATATAGATCATTCCATTCCTTTGCCGTACGCATCAGAAAGGAGGAAGTAAAGCGCTAAGTGCGAATAGGTGGAATATCAACGATCATGTCGAATGGAGTGCTCCGGACCTTCTAGTCGACCGAAGAAGGAACGGTTAGGTAGGTTACCATGCCGGACTGCCACGCAGAGGTCCCAGGTTCGATTCCTGGGCCGGGAGAAATATTTGTATTTCTCTCGTGAGTTTGGGTGTAATTTGTGGTTGTCTATGTGTGTGTCCATGGCACTCGCGACACAAGCTTTCCCTAGTGCAGGGCTATGTTGTGTGTGTGCGTTATTATTATTATTATTATTATTATTATAATTAGTAATATGTATGTTTTCATCTTTAAAATAATTAAACAATGTCATCTTGTGTCGTTCGGTATTGCAGAAATACTTTAAAAAACATCAGTACATAAACGGGAAAATCCTTTAACAGGTACGCGATTAATCTGTTTTGGTTTTGTTTTGTATTATTTTATAATGACTATTAAACTACCTAAATAATCTGCCATGATGATGATGTGTGTGTCCATGGCAACCGGGACCAGGCTTTCCCCTAGTGCGGGGTTATGTTGAGTGTGTGCGTTATTATTATTAATAGATATATAAATATTATTATGAAATTACTTCTCGCAAGCCTTCTGTGTCATATTAAGTTTCACCTCTTAAGCCAGAATTTGACGGTCTTCTTAAATTCTATCTTATTCATGGCGAAATAATGAAATTAAATTTAAAGTTTAGGAATGTGCCAAGGAAGCAGAAGAATGTCTGACTGTACTGTGTGCAAATATGACGAGAAGAAAAGGTATCGAGTCATCTATGGTTGGTTAAAGTCACATAATCAAATCAATTGAATAAATTTTTGTTCCATTTGAGCAAATTCGTCGAGATCTTATTGTTCCACTTCTAACTTTTCGGATCTTAACACAATATGGTACACGATTCTTTCGCAAATAGTCTTGATGTACTTTGCAGGCGAATTTCCGGCATACTGTATAGTAAAGCAATCGATTTCCATTTGTAAGCACGCCGATAAGGTTTAACATGCAATCTTGTTTATGATGTTCAATAAAATACATCCGCATTTCTTGCTTTGACCTTTGTTGTAATTTCTCAAGATAATAATAATGATTGTTTATTTTTAGACGAAAATCCCATATGTGACATAATACAACAATGATAACAAGCTAGAATAAAACACTTAAATAATAAGTTATGACCTGCACAGGTCTTCGTCTAATCTATTTTCTGTTGGCGTCGTGGTGGATGGTACACCAGTACTTAGAAATTGGACCAGACATATCGGCGGAAACAACTCTCAGTATACCCTTATCAGAACAACGCAGCCTGTCCCAAAAGGAAGGAATGCAAACTCCTGTACAAAGCAGAAGTTCGATCTTGCATGGAGTGTTGCACTCACCTGTGGTATGGCTCAGCGAAGTATCAACTAGAGGCGCTTGATTCGATTGAACTAGGTGACGTAAAAATGTGTTTTATTTATATTTATTTAAGTTCCCCAACAATCCTATTTTAATTTCATATATAACAACCAAGTGTAAAATGACGTAAACATTTGGCAACATTCCGGTCGTTATCAGTCAAAGAACAACAGAATGGAGATTCAGCTAAATTAAATCCTTGAGCAAGATCGTAACCTGTATTAAATGTATTCAAGGCAGACTCCTTGCTTTAATAGTCGTATTATCTAAATTTCATTTAAATAAATAAATAACGCACACACTCAACATAGCCCCGCACTAGGGAAACCCTGTGTCGCGGGCGCCATGGACACACACATAGACAACCACAAATTACACCCAAACTCACGAGAGACATAATTGTCGGCCCGGGAATCGAACCTGGGACCTCTGCGTGGCAGTCCGGCGTGGTAACCGTTCGGCCACGGAGGCAGTTTATTATTTGCTCCAAACATTGAAGACATCCTTGGCAATCAAGTGCAAGATTATGATTTTGCTGGGTAGGTAAAACCGCGCTATCTACTTTTACAGCGGTCTGTGGAAAGAACTAGCACAGTTATAGGATATTTATGACCTAAGGCTGACACCGCAAAAAGATGTTAATCATATCGCAAATGTCTATTGGCGGCGGTAATTGTTTTTTCGTCAGGTAGACCCACAGAACAATAAATTATAGAAGTGGTTAGTTAGCGTCTGACACGTGTCAATTATAGGGCTCGAAAGACCTATCTGAGCTCAGTCCGCCATTTTCGCTTTGTATGGTATGGTTGAGGTTGTGTCATTCTTTCGTGCAATTTCTCTAAAATCCTAGAAAAATGCCTCATTGTGCTGTTTTGGAATGCAAAAATGATAGTGGTATTTCATATCACCGGAAAGTCTTATTTTAATAAATTTTCTGTTTATCGAAATATTTTTTTTTGTTACAAGAAACGAAAGTACCAACAGGGTAAAATTTAAATTAAGTATATTAACAATCCATAATGTTTATATCTTTTTAATTTGAAACTACGAACAATCAATGTCAAGATTTTGTGCTATATCAAATTGAGAATGTGTGAGTTTTAGCGACATCGGTATTCATTTGAGGCTTTAGGCACTTCCATTGTTTTTTTTTCTTCCGTGGGTAGACCCTTCGATCAATGTCGGTTTGAAAATTATAAAGAAAGAAACTGCATTCGTCAAGTTTCGCGATAATAATGT